GATTTTAGGGTGTCAGTCGGCCAACCTGTACGCCGCACTCCTTCCCCTGCCTGCCTGTGAACATCTGAGACAAGACTATTTTCCCCTTACGCTGCCCACCTGCCGTGATGGCCTTCTAGTCCACTCTGATCGTTCCAGAGACTCTGTCTCCTCTGTCTAAAACACATGCGTTTTTTCCTTTTTGCATTCCTGGCTCTGACACCCCCCAGGCTGATACGTGACTCCTTCCTTTCACAATCACATTTTTTCAAAGAGGAAGCTACACATGGGAGCGTTGGCTTCACTCTTAACCCTTTGCAATCTGGTTTCCTCCCCTACCTCGTGTTTCTTTTCATAGAGCGCCAGTGAGCTCCTAATGGCAAAAGGACTCTGACTCTTTTGCAATGCATGGCATGGTTACAACCTCCCCCTTGTAACCCCGTCAGCCCTCAATTTCTACGAAACTTGTTCTCACCCAACTCTTTCCTTTTTGTCCCCCCTCTGGCATCTTCCCTCCTCCTAACCCCCACACACAGGCTTTCTCCCAAACTACACTCTCCTAGCTCCAAGATTCTCACTACGGTGTGGTGCAGGTTTTCTTAAAGTGACAGCTGATTTACATTTTTTTTCAGAAGCTCACTCTGGCAGTGGCCGAGGGAATGGATCGTAGGTCGGCAGGAGTGGGATAGAAGCCAGTTAGAGCAGAAAGTTCGGCGGGGGGTGGTCACAGCTGGGTCTGAGGTGGCTCTGTGGACGGACAGAAGTGGCTGTACAGAATTTAAGACATGTCTTGGAAATTGCTGATGGATTAGATTTGAGAGTGAGGAAGGAGGGAATACAGATAACTCGTTTGTGGCTCAGGCGACTTGATAGATATTGGTCTCTTCATGAGCTTTGAAAGATGGAGAAGGGGTTGGAAAGACTTGGATAGGGAAATCAGGAATTTGGTTTGAGAATGTTAAATTGCATGTGGCTATTAGAGGTTCTAGTGGAGGAAACCATGTTCCCTTAGCTATCTCAGCCACTCATGACTTTGGCTATCTCTTCTTTATGTAGGGAA